ATGTCAATCTAGGAAAAACAAACCATCGTTCTGGAAGCAATGCATGCTGCAAAACGTGAAAACTTCTAAAGGAAATTCTCTATGTTCTACTTGAATGGATTCACTCAGAAGCTCTATTTGTTGTTAGCAAACACAAAAACCACGTACACCAAGATATGAATCAAGTGAATATATACATACCTGTAGTTAAGTGAGAGTGTCCTTGGGAAAATCTCTCTGAATTATTATGCTTGTTTATGAACTTGATTTAGACATCTCTCTAAAATATTTCAAATATTATATGTTCATATTGAGTGATTAGAATTGAAACTTGCTACAAAATTGTTGAATCAAGCTCCTTATCCATTACTCTTAAAGGAAGAGTCTTGGCATTAGAATGAAAGCAAAGTTCATTTCACTTCAATGTGCAAATTCAAATCACTCAAAACTAACATATAATGCTTGAAAGATTTCAAGCAGATGTCCAAACCAAGTTCAACAAATACAATAATAACTATGCAAATGCTGTGAAGCTTTCAGACTAGTTTAAACAGTCCATGTTAGTCAACCTCTGCCAAGAAACATATCTATCCCAAAACAAAAATAAGAGTTTTGAAATTCAAGTGACTTATAAAGCCTATCAACCTGATCAGTAAATGAATGCAAGAAATACTACATGAAGGTCTCTCGAGGTAAGCAGTTCTTAGAGTCATGACAGGGTCCAAAATAAGAAAAGCCAAGCCGGTTTAGATGTTCGAGAATGACTTTTGAAATAATGGTAACCGAAGTTCAACAACAAAGAGTTTTCAGCCACATATGTACCGACCTTAGAAGAGTCGGTAATATATAAAAATAGCTTTATCTCTTTTCTAGGCACGATCTGCCCGTAACGAGCGGTGGCGCAGCAGCTCTGATGACATCACATGACTTCCAATTGCCCTCCGGTCCGAAGTTTTAAACTGATTCCTCTCAACCAGTGGTTGTGAGTAGCATAGCTTCAGAGCAGTCATCTCCTTGCCATGGCGTGTGCGTTCATGGTCACCACTGTGACAAACCGTCGCAAGTCCTCATGAGCTTGACTCGCCTTCGTTTCTGTAACTTGACGTCATTCAGAGTTCCATATCTAGATTCCGATCTGGCCCATATCTGATCAAGACTGGAACAGCGTACGGTACAATCGCTGGGCCCATCGTTATCCTGAATCACTTGCCATTAATATGTGCTGGTAAATGTTGATTCATGTTCCCAGCACATCCGTAGGCTTCAGGGCACTTGTGAGTAGACTGATCACCCTACGGTAAAAGAAACAAACTAATATTATCCTCAAGTTGCAGGAATTCTAACCCAGATCCGTTGTGCCGACAAAGCGTGCCAGATCCAAAGCGTCTAATCTTGTGGCCAGTCTTGCTCTCTCAGACGAACCAACGAAGTAAACCTGATCGAAATCCATCACCCTCGAAGCGGCAGCCCAGACTTCGAGTGGCCGTTATAGCGGCATAAGGGTTTCAGATGACGGAGTTTGATACACAAACTGTAGAGTTCGTTTGGAATCTGCATCACAGACACCACGATATCTCGAAATAGAAGGATCGGTATCAGTTTCCACCACCAGGTTTCCCGACCCCTCATCGAGCCTCGAATACGCTGTAGTGGAGGAGGAGGACGAAGACGAGGACGAGGAAGATTTATGCCAGTCCGCCGCGAGCACGGTGAGACGGTACAAGTCTGGGCTGTGAAAGTGCATGCATGAAATGGTGGCATCATCCCACGAGGAAGATTATGCAAGCAAATAAGTTGAATACGCATTTTGGTATTCACTTTGGAGTCATTTTGGACCATGTGTTAATGTATCCAGACATAACAGAACACGTCTACATTCATAATAATATATCATTTCTACAAGTAATGGCTTGTGTCATTTTGTTTAGTGGTTCTTATAAGCCTTGGCTATTATCTTGCTTTGAAAATGTTTTTAGTTAATTTTTTCTATTATTTTAGAAAAGCTTCTTATTTAAATTGATATAGTAGTACTAAAAATAAATAAAAATGAACTATTGACCTAGAAAAATATCTTTTTGTCCCACGTTTACATCTTTATTATTTGTTTTATATGAAGTTTATCAAAATTGTGTCATAGAAGTATATAAACTCAAAATGATCAGATACTTTTAGTAAAAGCACTCTTTTGATTCTTGATGCACTTCAGAAAATTATGAAGTTCATGTTACTTAGTTCTCTGAAATTTTCAATATTATTTATAATTTGAAGCTTTTCAACATTCTTAATACTTGTGACAAACCTTGTTCTGTGATGCTTTTGGTGATAATTTTTGGAAAATTGCATATCTCAAATTCCAATCTATATTTAGTTAATTTGAATGTTTAGCTTTTTTCTTTGATTCCTAATGTCTAGGTGGGTACTTGAAAAATAAAAATGAATGCAAGCTATTAACTTATGATTGTTGTTGTAATTTATAAAATGGTCTTAGTTTTTCACGTATAGTAGAAAATTCTTATTTATAATCAGTGGTGGTCATATTTGTTTTGATTTTCAATTTAAGAACTTTCACAATGCTCATTTGCTTGTTTTTACAGATGAAGCATCATAAATTATTAAATAAATAAATAAATAAATAAAGATCATATAATAGTCACAGTATGTCATGTATTATTCCTACTTTATTTCTTAATGTAAAATCAAAACCAAGGTCTAAAAAATGGATTTAATGATTTTCTACTAAATATTTAAAGAACCCTGTTATTGCTATTGTTTGTATGATTATTGTTTTTATGATTTATTCTCTCAGATTTGTGTATTACTTTGTTAAGCAGAGAATCAGTCTGTCCAATGCATGATGGGAAAAGAATATTCGTTAAATGGAATATTCTCTCCCCCTCTTTTGGCCTTTGTTGATTGTTGTGCACGAGAGAACAATCTCATCCTTCGTCAAATTGGTATACTACCATGCATCATGGTTTTTTTTGGTTGTGGGAAAGAAATAAAAAAAATGATTCAAAAATACATTTGAGAGATTTTGATAAACTTATTAAATAGTTAAATAGAATGTTGAATGAATTCCAAAAAAAAAATATAGGAAGAAGAATAAGAACAAGAAAGCAATGAAGTATTGTATTGTTCAAGGACTTCTTACCATATGTTGGATTTGGTGTTGGGCACTATTGTCAATTTGTTGTTGTAGCTTTTCTTCTTGTTGTGGCTTTTTAAGATTAACTTGAATTTAAAAATCATATTATGCCTGAAGTTTTTATTTTACAATATATCACTTCCATCAAATTGGTTAGTATTTTTGCAAAATTACAACAAACAAGCAAAGTTGATGTATATGAACTAATAGACACATTTGAATCAATAGAATCATGAAATTTGAATAACTTGATTTCAATAAAAAATTATACGTTGAATGGCCATCCTAAATATATTACAGTTAATTTAAGTATTAAAATTACAAAGCACCAATAAGACAAATGTATGACAAAGTATAAGTTCATAAAAGGTTTGAATATTTTTTTAAATGACACATTTTACATACTAATATATATAATTTTTATTATTTGATATAAATTATAATTTTCAACAGCATTTATAAATTTAGGTGAATGTTATAAACATCAGAGTCTTATGTAATATCAAGTTTAATATATTTATGTTATAAACATCTCTTGTAAAAATAAAATGTATTGTACATGTGTTTCTTTGGTTCATTGTGTAAGCTTTCAAAGGTAAGCAAAATAGTGAAACGTTGGATTAGAGCTTTTATAAAAAAATAAATTAATAAAAAATTAACCTTAAAACAAATGAGGAAAAAATACTAATTAACATATATATATATATATATATATATTCAATATTTTGATATAATTAAAATGATTTTTAAAATATTTATTAAATATAATATTAGAGAAACTTCTTTATTTGAGAGTAAACTAGTTATGTTTTTTTTATATCACAAATCAATATGAATTTAGACAAACAAAATCTACCATTTTGTATCTAGATGCAAATGATTTTTTGTTGGATATTGTGTATTAATAAATAAGGTATATTGTCAGATATTTAAAGCATTCGGTTTAGATTTGATAGAGAATGTCTTTTCACATAGGAAATTGTATGTTGCATTCTTATACATATTACTTTAAAAAAAAATATTATTGTGATATTAGAAATTATTAGAATAATGCATAACACTTTACACGTAACAAAGTGCTCTAATAATAAGCATGGTTGGCTTGTAGCTACTTTTTATTTTTAGAAGATTGTTGAAAGTTTAAGCGTCTATGAAATTAAGGCACATGAAAAATACCGTCCAAAATAAACAGATCACAATGAAAATAAATAATAATTTCATTTTAAAAAAATTAGCTTCATAAGCCCAAAAAAAAAAAAAAAAAAAATCTTACATATTATAAAATACAGACTCACAAATGATATAGTGTCACGCAAGAAACAAAATCGCGTAACATAAGTAAAAAAAACACAAACGAAAGTCGAATTCATCCTCCATACATTTCAAAAAATAAAAATAAAAAAATAAAAATGCGTAGTGGTAGCACTCGCCAACTAGCGATACGTGACCCGTCGACGCTGGCGACGAGCGTCGCGTCGCACGGCGAGAGCAGCGTCACGGCTCCGCACGAGAACGGGATTAGATCGAAGTCTCCTGCATCGTCAAGTCGTCGCGATTCTGGTAAGCTGTACCGATTGGTCCTCATCTTCAGTTGGAATGCCGGGTCGATCGAAGGATGGGCTGGTTCCTTCGACGGATCCGCACCTGAAAACTACTGTAGGGAGTGCGGCGGGGAGCTGCTGAACGTCCCGTGCAAAACTGTGGCGATCTCTTTCACGCTCATGCGGCAGAGGAGACCCATGTGCACATGGAACGAGAATAAGACCGTGTGGTGGACGGTGGTGATGTTGGTGTGCAGCACCGTCAGGGCCAAGCCCTCCAGGGCCATCACTGTGCGCAGCAGCTGACCGCTTCGCCGCGGCGCTAAGACCTTCACCAGGGCTTGGTCGATTCTCACCATCTTCACATTCACGCTCGCCTGGTCCGACTTCGCCTCCCCCATGATTTCGTGTCCAGTGTGGGGCTTGATGGGGGTGCTGGAAGAAGGGTTGGCGACACTGGTAGCCGGTGAGGTGAGTAGAACCTCGAGTTGTGTGAGTTTCGTGTGGTGTTGCTGCTGCTGTGGGTGTCTGTGGACACTCCCTGCGAAAATGAGCTTTGATCCGTAAGTCTCTGCAGAGAAGAAGAGAGGATTTTTGCCGTGAACAACAATATTGAAGGTTCTGAGTTCCAATCCTTTTATTTATTTATTTTTCCTGGGAGGTATCTACCGAAAATGGAAAATAGCCTGGGAAAAGATTTCATTCCAATCGAAACGCAAGAAGGCTCAATGAAATCGCGACATGTCGGCTTGTGAATGGAAAGAGAGGTCTTGAATTACCTGGGAATTGATGAATGACAGAGGGGGCAGTGTCCGATGAAGTTGATCAAGGCTTGGCATTGCTGGTGGACAAATCGAAGGGTTCCCGAGGTTTGAAATGTCGCTCTGCGCTCGCTGTCGCTTTTGTGCTTGAAGGCAATGCAGTAGGTGCTCGAGTTCCCTGACGAATTCAATGGCTCCCCCAATGATGGATGCTTGATCGCCCTGTCAGTGCATTACATCAACGCAGAAATCTTGAGAGTCTAAAACCTATGTTTTTGGGTTTGCTGCACACATTTAAACCTCCATTCACATTTAAAAGAAGGACATCGTTTGTTAAGACTTCCACACAGTTTTTTGGAGATTGAACATACCTTCTGGATGAAGTAACCTGGCATGAGAGCACGAAGAGCAGTCAAATGCTCGTTCATCTGCTTCCTGCGGTTCCTTTCTACAGCAATGTGTGTCATCCGTTGGCTCTCCACTTCATCTCCGTGTTTCTGGGTTTTAGACCTCTTTCGTTTAGGCTCCAAATTGTGCATGATGCCACTTCCTTCATGCATTCCCGAGACAGATGGAGTGGCTCCCTCACTTGGGGCATTTGCTTCGTGGGACTTAATGTTCTTGCTCTCATCGCTGGCTGCAATTGTCAATCGACCAAAACTTTCCATGTTGTGATCACTAGAGGCTGGCTCCGCACCATGCAGGACCTTGGTAAATCCTGCTGTGGTGCTGCATTGTGAACCTGGATGCTTGTTGTGAGGCATTTCCCTCAAGTCCAAGGACATGCTCGCATGGAATCTGGGCGATAGCCAAGAAGCTTTGGCATTGCGTTGCTTCGTTACTAATTGGAGGTCAAATTCAGGATGTCGGAAACTGGATTGTTGCATAAGGGGGTTGTGGAATGCCTGAGAATCAAAGTCATGGTCAAAATCTCGAGGTATAGAGGAATCGGAACCAACATGGGCAGACGAATTGAAAGCTCCGAGTTGGTCTTGTGTATGACTAACGTCACGGTGATGGAATTGAACCCTAAGACCGGCGTTGTCAAAAATCTCGCAAAACTGCATCTGGCAAGAGCCAACGTGCACAATTAGAAGAAACTTGATTTAGAAAATAAAACATCTAATAATCTGAAGAACTTCTCAATGATTACCGCATTCAGTGCCTTATGCTTCTGTGCATATATGAGTCGGTGATTTCAAGTATCATAAAAATCATGACTAATGGCTCTGTGAAGTTCCAACGTTTTTTCAAATTGATATTGAGCAGCTAAACTGGAAACTAGTCGACGCATATGAGTTCGTGACGACCTCAGAATCAAGAAGACAGGTTACATGGACAAGTTTTATAGATGGAAGCAAGCAGATTGATCTTCTGCAAAAGCACTAGGGTTTTCCACAGCAGTTTTCCGATCTCACCCCTTCAGCGCCATGAAATAGTGGCGACCCCGAAATCCACGAACATTGAGAAGTGTCGACCACACTACCAGCTGAAGCATTCGCACAGCATGACTCAGATATTCCTCTTGATTCCGCGCCACCTTCAAATTTCTCGTCAAGGATGGTCTGTTGATACGGTCTTTTAAACACTTTATTATTGCCTCCATTGTCGCATGTCGAGCTAGTTGATGGGAATAGTAACGTTGAACAGCACGAGCCTTCCATCGAAGCCATTGTGGAGGCTAGAGGTTTGTAGAAGGAATCAAGGAGGGCATCCTCGGAGTTCCAGAAAGTTTTTGACGTTGAGAATTCAACAACGTCGGGGTAGTCCATGACACTGGCTTACTTTTCTGTCAAATGTTAAGTCCGGTACCACGTTTAGCATTTTCAGGCAACCTCAGAAGGCAATGATGGAGATGCATACAAATTGTGCTCAGCGGACTGAAGATATCCGTTACAAATGACGCAGGTCAATGCCAGAACATACATACTAGTAGTACAACGAAACTACACTCGCAGAAGTGATTATCTATAATCCAGTTCTTGACCATCTCGAAACTGAGTACCCACGTTTCAAATCTCCTGCCTACAACTAGAATTTTTGATCTGCGTCGTTAGTGTGACTTGAAAACAATGGTAGGTCAAATCACGCAAGTTACACGGTGGTTTGGTTAAGAGTATCACTGCATCTTCCGCAGGCTTTACCGATTGGAGGATCCTTCTCTCACTACGCTTTCAGTAGTGAAATCAACATTAGCGTTCCAGGACAAGAATTATCTAGAGATTGAAGGTACGAGAGGAGTTTCACGAGGTTTCATGTTTGATCAACAGTTGTAACCTCTTTTTTTGCTGCCTTGACAGTCAACTGTAAACCGATAATATCGTTTGATATGCGACAAGATTTTTACTAACAAAATCGAAGTGCCAAATGCTGCTAGATGCTATGGTTCGTGATCAGTATAATTATTCATTTTCTGTAGCTTTATGCTGCTACAAGGTGTGCCCTGTAATTGTTATTTCAATCCTTCTAATGGAAGGATTCTGGTTTGGCATTCAGCTGTTATAACTGCACGGCAACGCGAGCTACGTGAACACGTAAGTGGAGGTCAAAATGACTCGAAGGGGACCGAAGGAAGACAATTTCAACTGTTCACTTGTAAACCAAGTCATCACTGCGAATCAGCTACCAATAACAGTCCGATCTGGCTCTATGAATTCGATCTGTAGAACCTCGAAAATAGATTCGAGTTTTCAAGAGTTACAAGGATGAGTAGGTGATGAGTAATTCTCAGATGTTCATCAAATCACAAGCTAAGAGTGCATTCACTCTTGTGTAAAGTACCTCAAATATGGATTCCCTTGGTCGCTCAACGCGGAAAAGTAACTATTGAATTCCAAGGCCAGAGAAAATGGTCTAAAATCGCCAGGCTAGGAACTGTTCGAAATAATCGCAGCTTTGTCTCCCAATTGAGTCAGAAGCAGCGAACTTTTGGAAACCTCTGAATTGTTGAGAGAAAAATGAATATTCTAGCAGCAACTGTCAGCCGAATCCCTGAATAAGCAATGAGGAGCACTTGTGCGTCTTACGTACTGATGGAGGAGAATAAACCCTACGGTTTCTACTGTTCTCATGTGCAAGTCGCAACCCCCGAGGTGCCACAGTCTGGAAAAGACGAGAAAGCGTAGAGCCGCAGATCACTGTTTTACCTCAGAGAGGAGGTGGAACTGGATAAGCAACTCTTTAAAAACTAATGGCACCTGCGCAGAGCAGATGGAGACTTCGCGCACGTAAAGTCTAATGTCTCCTTGATAAGGATACGTCAATTGCACAAAGGCCACTCGCTCCAAGCCACCAAATAGCTACGATTTTGAAGGAAATTAACAGAGTCTGTCGATAGCTTTTACGTCGAAACGATTGCTTGCAATAAAGTCTTGATGTAAAATAAACAACTCGCGTTAGGTGAGATGGGAAAGAGTCACTTTCGAGACTGTTTTTTTCTCGAACTATGGACTTCTTTACATAAATTGAGAACAAGATGAAGCTGAAGGTTTTCACAGTTAACCAAAACAGTATCGGGTTCCAGGTAAGGGGGAATGATAACGCTTGACAACTTTCCGACTCAAAAATGCAGATTACCTCCCGCTCAAGACGTGGGTTTCTCCAAAACAATATTCCCAACTTGAATATAGTTGGTGTCTGTATCCTACTGCGAGAGCAAAATGTTTCGTGTGGACGACGGATCTACAGCCCGAATTTGAGTCCATATCGCCTGGTCGCGGATTCAAATATGTCTAGATTAAAAACATTATCCGTCGACACTGACGCATTCAAGGCAAGCAACAGTATGATTGCTTCAACCGAATCATACCGGCCCGATTGTGCAAACACAAAGTAAATTCTACGAAGTAAGGATTCTGGCGATGCATTACCATTCGGTGAGGCAGGACGAGTAAGTGATGCACTGGAGCTTGAATGTGGGTTTTTCTCTGGATAGGATGGTGAGATGAGTCCAGAACCGCCTGGGCTGGCAGAGTTGCTAAGTAACACAGGCTTTGATGTACCAAAGTGTCACGTCGATGTCTTGTCCATTTGCTCGTTGACATGCCCTTGCAAAGTAGGAATAGGCAGGGTGCAGACAAGCTGTTGCTCTCTACCTGGTCTGTATCTAGTCCTCTGCAAAGTTGCAGAAATGTTTTTTTCCTAATTTGTTTTCGGTTCAGAAAATTATCTGGTGTCGCTGCCACCGAGAGAACCCAATCTCGCACTGATCAGCACGGCGTGCTAATTTTCAAATGTTTAGCTCGTTGGCTTCACACTTGCGGGTTTTAGTGGAAATTCTGCGGCAAAGTAGATCATCTAAAGTAGATCTAGTAGAGATTGTATGCAGATATTTTATAGGTGTCTAGAGTTCAAGCAGTTCTTTACGAGATGGAGCAAATCGTGCACCTCCCTATGAGGCTTGAATTTGGAGGTTATGCTTCAGTCGGCAACGTCAGGTTACAACGCCACAGAATGCCATAACATGGTGAACTAGAGGGAGACTTTGCGAGTCCTCAGAGAGTAGATTTTTCCTGCAGAAATCAGGTGGAAATCATCAACGTGGAATCGAAAGCTTACACACGGCGTTTTCAATGCACTTTTTTATCAACCCCCGACCTGGACTCATAAAAGTTCAATCTCTGGCCTCAACCAACCTCTAAGTTTCACCCATAAAGAAACGTGGCTTGGGGTAGCTACTAGCATTATGTTTTCCCGTCATGAGCTTAAGAACGTTGCATTAAAAAGATTAAAAAAAAAAACAAAAAAACAAAGACGATAACAAGATAAGAATACACTCTATGGTGGTGTCCAGAACAAGGTACTGTAGTGGCTACATTTCGACGTCGAAAACTTCAGTTTGTGAGCTGAATTGTTGGCAGAAAAAACAGACCCAGTTTAAGAAAACGTACAGATGATCCCTCTTCTTCTCACACTTGACCCAACTGCACTTGGCTGCCTCCACTAAGAGGCGATGAAGGTAACCTTGTTCAGAAGAGCTGCTTTTATCCAAGTTCCGCGTGGAACTGAAATGGTGTTTTCCACTGTAAAAAAGACGTACCCCAATTTGCAGGCTTCTAGCAACTGTTAAGCCAGGCTGCCTATCCATCAACCTCATTTGGGTGGCATGTGTCATCCAAGGCAGAAACTGAGTTGGATCATGGCCAAGTTAACCAGCACAATGAAGAATTACAAGGGCTGACTTGCTGCAGAACTGAAGGTCTTTGTGCATATTTTATTCTGTTGATATGGAGTTTGTATGGATCACATCAGGAAGAAAACCATAAACATCATGTGAAAAGGTGTCGCAACCCTGTTTTGCTAATTAATGGTCCGCTGCAAAACATGTCCATGCAAAGGTGCAGGGAAATTTGACACTTTGCAAATGGAAGTTGTTGTGTTTATGTTGATAATTGTTGATTTTATAAGGTACTGACAAGTCTTGTTTGGCAGTCTTTTGTAGAAATGTTATGAAAAAACTTTTAAATATTAAAAAAAAAAAAAAAAAAACATTTTATTGTATTTCATTGTATTTTTTAAAAAAGTTTAGAAGGTTCCAAAAATATGTGAAAGTTGCTGCTTGTAAAAGTATGTCTTATTCTAATAGAGAATTCAATAAGGAACTGTTGGAAATTATTGAGCTATGTTTATAAAAATTTACTTATATGTCAAAAAATACTCATTACATATTTTTCTTTTTCATACGTTTACAGTGGTGTTCAAGTCTACAAAATTGTTAATGTAGCTTGATAAGAGATTTTATTGCTAATGAAAAAAAAAAAAAAAAAAAAAAAAAATACTTGTTTTGTTATAAGTACTTAAACATGATTTGAAGACCATGAGAAAATATAAATTGCTTTTTATTTAAATCATCAAGAAAGAAACAATATTTTTTAAAAAGATAAGTATGATGTGTTTTATAATTTGATTGTAAAATCAATTAATATCATAATTTATTTTTTACTTTAAGCTCATAGAGGATTCTGTTACCAATTTATTAATAACCTTAATATAAAGACTATAATTTTATTTATTTCAACCAAACTATTTATTGTGATTTTTTTAATATGAGTATTTTACTCAAATTATGATAAATTATTACTTACCTAAGAACTACATGAAAACTAGAAAAAACTTAGATTATCTGTTAATTTCAGAAAACTGCAACCTGAACCTTAAGTTGAAAGTTTTAGAGCATAATATAACTTAAATTTTTTTATTTAAAACAACAGCCAATATGGCATTGATTTATTTTTTTCATTATTGAAAAATAATATTTCTAATAAAACATAACTTAAACCACTTGAGAGATTTTTTAAGCTTCATTTAATTAAAAGTATACTTATTCTTTAAGAATTTTGGAAGTTTGATTTTTATATACCAACCTTTCTTAGTCTTATGTTGCATAATTTATAAGCTTGTATCAATATTTCAAAATATTATAAAAACATTGTACTATAATTTAAGTATTTTTCATTATTTCTAGCTATTAAATTGATTTTATTGATAAATTTATAAGAATAAAAAAATGATTTGTAATATGTAAAAAATATTTTGAAATTCTATATATATATATATATATATATATATATATTTTCTAATTGAAAAAACTATACCCCTACTTGTCAAAAATATGAATCTATATTAACTTAATAGAACCTAATCAATTAATTATTTAATTAATTATTTAATTAATTATTTAATTAATTTAAAAAATTAAGTATATTATTTTTAGAACTACAAAACACCTGAAATGGTTATTATTAATCACAAAAAAACCAAATAATTGTGAATAAAGACTAGAATATAACAATAATAATAAAAATAAGACTAAAGATGGATTTAGGCTTGCATTATGTTATAAATAATAAGAGACTTTCTAAGGACTATAAGACTTGCTGAATAATCATCTAAATTGTGAAATACTTTTATAATAACTTTGAGATTTAAAAAAAATCTTAGAGACGTTTGTATGACTATATAGAAAATCTAAAAATACTTGTAGATCCATTTTATATCTTTAAGTATTTTTCAATATTTTTGAAAGATAATAACATCTATTTAATTTATTTCATTCACCAATTTTACAAATGATGACTCTCATTTTGTTGATGAAAAGTGCAAATAGATTTTGTTGATAAAAAGCAAGTCTTATAGTCCTTAGAAAGTTAAAAAGCTTTTTAACTTTAAAAAGTTAAATAGCTTTTTAAAAAGCTAAATAGATTTTGTTGATACAAAGTTCAAATATATTTTGGTGTATTTGCAAGATTTTTAGATTGCTCTAATAGGAATTTATTAAGATCATAACTACTTTAGTTTATTTTTATTAATTAAGTATTTATAAAATATTTGAATTTTTTATATTATAAGAAATCTATATTCTTGTAACTAATCCTATTTTTATACACACATATATATATATATATATATATATATATATATATAGATTAAATGTATGTATTATATTTTGGAATATTTTTTTAATTTATGCCTGAATTTTAATGTCTTTTGTGCTCGGTTTTCGACTCTTGATAATAAAGAATTTTTAAAATTTTTATACAAAAATCTATTTCGGATTGTTCTTTCTAGTATTTAAAAAAATACATATGATATATTATTAAAAAAAATTAAAGTTTGCATTATTTTTACAACAAATATTATTTAAATTCTTATTTAAATTCTTATTCAAACAAGTATAGTTATAAAAATTCTACTTATTTAAATTCTTAAGAATTTTTCTAATGTAGGTTATATTATTTTTTCCATGTGAACTTTTGGATTTCATCAAAAAATTTGTGTGCACTCACTTCTACTGCTTTGTACAAAAAGTTTTACAAGTTGATTTTATCCATGACAATACATTTTTGCTTCATCATTACTATAATATTAGTTGTAGACTTCTATTAATTTTTTCTCCTCTACAAAATATTTTAGCAATATCAATTTCATCAAAAATATTGATAACAAAAAAATACACAATATACTATCTACATGTGCAAATCCATGTATTAATGTCTAATGAAGGTTTTTAAAATGACTATTTTTTGATGAATGTAAAGCCTTTTTACATTCTTTTCATGTGCCAATCATATCAAAGTTCACACATTCTATTATTTGAATTTTTTCATAAAGAATGAGCTTGTTCTACCACATTTTATTTAATAAAGAATCAATTTGTAGTAATCAACCTACATATCATAGGTTTGATTATTCTTTTTAAAATAATCTATTTAGTTTAAGGACGAATACAAGCAAAAGAATAAAATCAAAATACATATTTTTGGAAATTCTCTATCTAATATTTGACAAGAACAAGTGCCAAAGTTTGTTGAGCTATGAATTCTACAAAATAGGATTGCATGTATCAAATATTACAAAATAAATTCAATTTTACACATTCCATCAAAGTATATGAAAAAATTCTTGTAATTTAACATTTCATGGTAGATAT